GGTTACCTAAAGTCAAGATGAAGGAAAGAATCTTAAGAGCTGTGAGGCAAAAGCACCAGGTACCCTATGAAGGAAAACATATTAGATTAACAGCAGATTTATTAGCGGAAACCCAACAAGCCAGAAGGGATTGGGGCCCTATCTTCAGCCTCCCTAAACAAAACAATTATCAGCCAAGAATTTTGGATCCAGTGAAACTAAGTTCCATAAATAAAGGAAAGATACACTCTTTTTCAGACAAACAAATGCTGAGGTAATTTGCCACTAACAAGCCAGCACTACAAGAACTGCTAAAAGGAGCTCTAAATCTTGAAAGAAATCCTGGAAACATCAAAACAGGACCTCTTTAAAGCATACATCTCATAGGAACTATAAACAAAAATACAATTTAAAAAGACCAAGGTATACAGGCAATGAATAGCACGATGAATGGATTAGTATCTCACATCTCAATACTGACATCGAAAGTAAATCGCATAAATGCTCCGCTTAAAAGATACAGAATTGCAGATTGGATAAGAATTCACCAACCAAGTATCTGTTGCCTTCAAGGAACTCCCGTGACACATAGGACTCATGTAAACTTAAGGTAAAGGGGTGGAAAAAGATATTCCATACAAATGGACACTAAAAGCAAACAGGAATAGTTATTGTTATATCAGACAAAATAAACTGTAAAGCAACAACACTTAAAAAAGACAAAGAGGGACTTTATGTAATAATAAAAGGCCTTGTCCAACAGGAAAATATCACAGTCCTAAATATATATGCACCTGACACTGGAGTTCCCAAATTTATAAAACAGTTACTACTAGATCTAAGAAATCAGATAGAAAGCAACAAAATCATAGTACAGGACTTCAATACTCCTCTGACAGCACTAAACAGGCCATCATGACAGAAAGTCAACAAAGAAACAATGGATTTAAACTATACCCTAGAACGAATGGACTTAACAGATATTTACAGAACATTCTACCCAACAACTGCAGAATATACATTCCATTCATCAGTGCATGGAACTCTCTCCAAGATAGACCATGTGATAGGCCACAAAACAAGCCTCAATATGTTTAAGAAAGCTGACATTATATCAAGTACTCTCTCAGACCACAGTGGAATAAAACTGGAAATTAACTTCAAAAAGAACCTTCAAAGCAATGCAAATACATGGAAATTAAATAATCTCCTCCTGAACGATCATTGGGTCAACAATGAAATCAATGGAAATTTTAAAATTCTTTGAACTAAACAATAATAATAACACAACCTATAAAAATCTCTGGATACAGCAAATGTGATGCTAGCAGGAAAGTTCATACTCTTACATACCTATATCAAAAAGCCTGAAAGAGCACAAATAGACAATCTAAGGTCACACCTCAAGGAACTAGAGAAAAAAGACCAAACCAAACCCAAACCCAAACCCGACAGAAAAAAAGGAAATACAAATCAGAACAGAACTAAATGAAATTGAAACAAAAAAGAAATACAAAAATAAATGAATAAAAATCTGGTTCTTTGAAAAGATAAATAAAATTAATAGACCATTAGCAAGATTAACCAAGAAGAGAGAAGATCCACATAAGCTCAAATGGAAAAAAAAAAAAATGAGAGACATTACAATCAACACCACAGAACTACAAAACATCATTCAGGGCTAGCATGAACACCTTTACCTACATAAACTGGAAAACCTAAAGGAGATGGATAAATACCTAGAAATACACAACCCTCCTAACTTAAATCAGGAAGAATTAGAAACCCTGAACAGAACAGTAACAAGCAGTGAGAATGAAATTATATTTTAAAAATCACCAGCCAAAAAATGTCCAGAACCAGGCAGATTCACAGCTGAATCCTAGCAGACATTCAAAGAGTTGGTACCAATCCTATTGACACTATTCCACAAGATACAGAAAGAGGGAATCCTCCCTAAATAATTCTAGGAAGCCAGTAGCACCCTAATATGAAAACAAGGGAAGGGCATAACAAAAAAAAAATACAGACCAATATCCCTGATGAACACAGATGCAAAAATCCTTAACAAAATGTTAGCTAACCAGATCCAACAGCATATCAAAAAGATAATCCACCATGATCAAATGGGTTGCATACCAGGGATGCAAGAATGGTTTAAGATATGCAAGTCAATAAATACGATACACCACATAAACAGAATTAAAAACAAAAATCACGTGATAAACACAATAGATGTAGAAAAAGCATTTGACAAAATCCAATATCCTTTATGATTAAAACCCTCAGCAAAACTGGCATACAAGCAACATACCTCAATGCAATAAAAGCCACCTATGACAAACCCACAGCCAACATACTACAGAACGAGAAAAAGTTAAAAGTATTCCCTCTGAGAACTGGAACAAGACAAGGATGCCCACTCTCAACACTTCTATTCAACATAGTACTGGAAGTCCTAGCCAGAGCAATCAGACAAGAGAAGTAAATCAAGCGCATCCAAATCAGTAAAAAGGAAGTCAAACCTGTTGCTGTTTGCTGATGATATGATTGTATACTTACAAAACCCTAAAGACTCCTTTAGAAAGCTCCTAGAACTGATAAACGAATTCAACAAAGTTTCAGGATACAAAATTAATGTACACAAATTAGTAGCTCTGCTAAACACCAACAGTGATCACGCTAAGAATCAAATAAAAAACTCAACCCCTTTTACAGTAGCTGCAAAAATAAAATAAAATAAAATAAAATATTTAGGAATACCTAACCAAGGAGGCAAAAGACCTCTACAAGGAAAACTACAAAATACTGCTGAAAGAAATTGCAGTTCACACAAACAAATGGAAACACATCCCATGTTCATGGATGGGTAGAATCAATGCTGTGAAAATGACCATACTGCCAAAAGCAATCTACAAATTCAATGCAATTCCCATCAAAATACCACCATCATTCTTCACAGAACTAGAAAAATCATACAAAACCAAAAAAGAGCCTGCATAGATAAAGCAAGACTAAGCAAAAAGAACCAATCTGGAAGCATTACATTACCCAATTTCAAACTATATCATAAAGCCATAATCACCAAAACAGCATGGTACTAGTATAAAAACAGGCACATAAACCAATGGAACAGTATAGAAAACCCGGAGATAAACCTAAATACTTACAGCCAACTGATCTTTGACAAAGCAAACAAAAACATAAAGTGAGGAAAGGACATCCTATTCAACAAAAGGTGCTGGGATCACTGGCAAGCCACATGTAGAAGAATGAAACTGGATCCTCATTTCTCACATTATACAAAATTCTACTCAAGATGGATCAAGGAGTTAAATCTAAGACCCAAAACTATAAAAATTCTAGAAGATCATTGGAAAAACCCTTCCAGATATTGGCTTAGGCAAGGATTTCATGACCAAGAACCCAAAAGCAAATGCAATAAAAACAAAGATAAATAGGTAGGACTTAATTAAACTAAAAAGCTTTTGCATGGCAAAAGGAAAAGTCAGCAGAGTAAACAGACAACCCACAGAGTGGGAGAAAATCTTCACAATCTATACATCTGACAAAGGACTAATATCCAGAATCTAAAACAAACTCAAACAAATTAGCAAGAGAAAAACAATCCCATCAAGAAGTGGGCTAGGGACATGAATAAACAATTCTCAAAAGATATATAAATGGCCAACAAACATGAAAAAAAGCTCAACATCACTAATAATCAAGGAAATTCAAATCAAAACCACAATGTGATACCACCTCACTCCTACAAGAATAGCCGTAATCAAAAAATAATAGATGTTGGTATGGATGCGGTGAAAAGAGAACACTTCTACAATGCTGGTGGGAATGTAAACTAGTACAACCACTATGGAAAACAGTGTGGAGATTCTTTTAAAAACTAAAAGTAGAACCACTACTTGATTCAGCAATCCCATTACTGGGTATCTACCCATAGACAAAGAAGTCATTATATGAAAAAGATACTTGGACATCCTTGTTTATATAAGCACAATTCACAGTTGCAAAAATGTGGAACCAACCCAAATATCCATCTATCAACGGGTGAATAAACTGATATATATATGATGGAATACTACTCAGCCACAAAAAGGAATGAATTAATAGCATTCACAGCAACCTGGATGGGATTGGAGACTATTATTCTAAGTGAAACAACTCAGGAATGGATAACCAAATATTGTATGTTCTCACTCGTAAGTGGGAGCTAAGCTATGAGGATGCTAAGGCATAAGAATGATACAAGGGACTTTGAGGATTCCGGGGAAATTGTAGGAAGTGAGTGAGGGATAAAAGGTTACAAATTGGGTTCAGTGTATAATGCTGTGGTGATGGGTGCACCAAAATCTCACAAATCACTACTAAAGAACTTACTCATGTAAGCAAACACCACCTGTTCCCCAAAAACCTATGGAAATAAAAAATTAAAAGAAAAAAAAAAGAAAGAAAGAAAAAAAAAGAAAAAAAAAATGAATGAGAAAGCACTCAATGAACTGATGCGGGAAGAACTCCAAGATATAGTGATAAGTGAAGACTGAGGTGCAGAATACTGCTACTCACCTGTACACTTTCATTTGTCATAAACACACTTATTTGCGTAGAGAAAATAATGAAGGATTCTCAAGAAAACAGTGTAAGTGTTTTCCCATGGGAGAAAGGGGAATGAGGCAGGTTGGAGCAGAAGTAGGAAGAAGACTGTCTTCCATATACCTCTTTATATTTTTGGGTTTTGAGCGATGTAAATCTATTATTCCCCCCGCAAAAATATTTTCAGTTCTTTTTAAGTAGAATTTGAATGTGTACCACAATGTGATTCTCAAAAAACTCATTAAAATTACATTACTCCAAGAGTTTGAAACCATTATAAAATCAACAAAACCTTTCAATGGCCCTGATATGAATACATATGCAATGAATTTTATTAGCATATAAATATAAGAGAATGAATAAATACATTCTAAAACAATGCATTGTTCAAATGAAAATGTAGCAGTTACCTGCTTTATCAGTTGTCCTAAAAACATTTTCTCTTAGGTAGTAAATTGGACAGGTACATTTAAATATATTGTTTCAGATCAGTGAAATGGTCCTAAAAATGGAGCTTATGGACAGTCGCAGGGTGTCAAAATCATCTATGGTGACAGTGCTATGGGGAATATAACTAATACAATTATATATCATTTTTGGCTTGACACAAAATTATGTTCTTTTGCTTGCCCTGTATCAACTTATTTAGGGAAATCATCCTTTTACTATTCTCTCTCTTTATCTGCCTCTCTCTCTCTCTCTCTCTCTCACACACACACACACACACACATTTTGTGTAATTTAAGTGCAGCTGTCAATCAAGTGGCCCACCTCCCCTGCCTCAGAAGTAGCAAATGTTGACTGGTGTATTCCATTCTCCCAGCTACCTGGATTCCAGGGGTGAACATAAGACCAAAGTTTGGCCAATCAGAGCCATTGGATAAGCAGTAGAGACTGTTATAGATGAATGAAACAAGAGGGTTTCTGTACTTTTGAAATTACAAGCTCTAAGAATCAGATATGCCTATAGCTGCCAGGGCATGTTACATGCCAGGGGCATTTTGAAAATGAACCCAACTTAGTGAAGACAACAGGGAAATTAATAAAATGAAATTAATCATGATATTATTGGTGAACACTGGATCCAGCCATGCCCTAAGCCAGTCCACCTTTGGATTTATTAACTTCATGAGCCAATGAATTCCCTTTTGTTGCCATTTTGAAACACAGTGCAACTGTTCCTCAATAAAATCTTTATGATTAGTACCTGTACATATTCCAGAGTTTCTTTGGAAACTCTGGTCTTTCTTGGGATTATGTCTTAATTTACCTGGAAAATTTAGACAGTGTAGACTACGAAATTTAGGAGATTCAGAGAAATTCTTCATGTGATTAATGAATCTGGAGCAGGTCACTGAAGTTCTTTCATAACAAGGGATATTCTGTAAGATAGAGGAGAAAAATACACAAAATAAAATTAGGTTAATGGCTCCAAAATAATTCATGCCACCTAGCACTCTTACTTCCCTAAAGTGAGTGATATTTTTTAAATATTTTTGTTTCTTTATTCTTTAAATGAAACAATCCTGAAAACAATCACAGTTAACTCTAGTTACCTTTACATGCACATTCCTCTTATGTATTCATTAAAGAGGCTAATTAACTTAATTATTTGTTCATTGAAAAAAATCTTATTCAGTTACACTATATACTAGATATTATTCTAGGTAGTGGGAATACAAGAGGCGAAGTCTCTGCCCTTATGAAATTGACATATTAGGGGAGAGTGACAAAAAATAAACAAATATATCTACAATAGATTGGATGGTGATTTTTCTGTTGCTAAGATGAAAAACATAAAATAAGAGATATCTTCTCAGACAAGGTGACATGAAAACAAAGATTCACTGGCACAGATGGAGCAGCCATGTGAGGTCTTAGATGAGAGTCATTCCGAGCACTGGGAACAGCCAGTGTGTGAAAGAATGGAGAGGCAGGGGATAGGGAAAGGGGTCAGAAGGTAGGGGAGAGGAGGCTCTTAAATCAAGCTTTGTCACCTTGAAATAGCAAAAACAGAAAATAAAGAGGAGAAAGAGCTACAAATATCTTGGTTAAATAATATGAAATAAGGTCATAAGTAAGGATCCAATTTGATTTAAATCAAAAACTATTCATTCTAAAACCTAAAACTATAAAAACCCAGAAAGATAACCTAGGGAATACCATTCTGACCATAGAACTTCGCAAAGATTTCATGAGAAAGACACCAAAAGCAATTGCAACAAAAACAAAAATTGAAAAACGGGATCTAATTAAACTAAATAGCTTCTACACAGGAAAAGAAACTATCAACAGAATAAACAGACAACCTACAGAATAGGAGAAAATATTCGCAAACTATGCTTCCAACAAAGGTCTAATACCCAGAATCTATGAGGAACTGAAACAAATTTACAAGCAAAAAACAAACAACTCCATTAAAAAGTGGACAAAGGACCTGAACAGAAACTTTTCAAAATAAGACATACATGTGGCCGACAAGCACATGAAAAAATGCTCAACATCACTAATCGTTAGAGAAATGCAAATCAAAACTACAATGAAATATCATCTCACACCAGTTAGAACGGCTATTACTAAAAAGTCAAAGAATAACAGATGCGAGATTGCAGAGAAAAGGGAACACTTATATACTGCTGGTGGGAGTGTAATTTAGTTCAGTCACTGTGGAAAGCAGTATGGCAATTTCTCAAAGAACTTAAAATGAATTATCATTTGATTCAGCAATCATATTATTGGATATATATACTCAAAAGAATATAAATCATTCTAACATAAAGATATATGCACATGTGTCTTCATTGCAGCACTATTCACAATAGCAAAGACATGGAATCAACCCAAATGCCTATCAATGTTGGACTGGATAAAGAAAATGTGATACATATACACCATGGAATACTGTGCAGCCATAAAAAAGAATGAGGTCATGTTTTTTGCACCAATATGGATGAAGCTGGAGGCCATTATCTGAAGCAAACTAACACAGGAACAGAAGCCCAAATACCGTATCTTCTCACTTATAAGTGGAAGCTAAACAACAAAAATCATAGATACTAGAAGGGAAACAAGAGGCACTAGGGCCTACTTGAGGGTGGAGTAGGGGAGGAGGGAAAGAATCAGAAAAAATACCTGATGGGATACTATGCTTATTACCTGGTAAGGAAGTTATCTGTACACCAAACCCCTGTGGGTGTACACAGTTCACCATATAATAAACCTGCGCATGTACTCCTGAACTAAAATAAAAGTTAAAAAATAATAATATAGATAAATAAAAACCAGTCATTAAACATGTAATCAGAACCAACTTCCCATTGGTTTGATGTGTAATTTTTATTGTTTGGATATGATTAGATATTATCGATTCAGGTGATTTGGATATTGTATAAATTTGGATATTGGATATTAATGTATGGCTAGTACTGTTTGGATATTGTGAATATTATGTGTTCAGGATAGCATTAATTTACTGAGTCTGTACAAGGTCAACTCATCCCTGCATGAGCAATAGTATCTTACTGAAAGGGTAAGGTTTTCATCTTGTCACTTCACACGGCCTATCACTCACCCAACTCTACCCGCTCCCTGAGGAAAAGGTTTGTGTCCCAAGCCAGAAACTGTAAGCTAAGTGAGAGGGTCCTAGGAAGGCACTGGAGTGGGAACTCTCTCTTTTCCATAACTGTGGATCAAGGAGGCAGAGATGGAAGCTTAAGAAGATACACACCTCTTAAATGGCAGGAGGCAGCTGGGACTTGAGAGACCCAGTCCAGTTGTACCAGTCATGGAGCATGGGAGATTAACTAAGGAAGGGTTAGAAACCTATACTTTGTAAGACTTTTTTGCTGCTAGCATCTTCTTTCTTTATATTTGCTTGATATTGAGTAGAGTCTTCTTTAAAAATCATCACAAATGAGCTAAAATAAGTGAAAGGGAGAGAATTTCTACCATTTTAAAGAGAGAAGAGTACCACAGGAACAGCAGTGATTCCAAGAGAGGGCTTGAGAGAAAGTGAAATGAGAGAAAAACTGTTTTCCTGACTTGGTTAGAGCCACCGTCCATCTGGACAGTATGTGGGCATGGGCAGTCTTGGCGGTGATAACTCAGAGCATGGGCTGTAGAATCATGTAGGTCCACATCCAAGCCGCATCTCCACACCCCGCTCTCTATACAAGCCGGGGCAACATACCTTCTCTATTCCTGTTTCCACCTTTACAAAATGGGGCGAATGCTATCCCACAACAACTATTACCCCCATTTTACAGATAAAAAACTAAGTAACTTATCAAAGCTATACAAGTACTAAGTATTGAAAGCAAGTCTCAAATCCACTCTTTCCTACTCTAACGCCCATGTTTTTAACCCCATTCCATACTGCTTTCCCATTTTAGAATAAGCACAATATAAGTATTCAAAAAGAACCTAGAAGATCACCGTGGCCTCCTCACAGTCAGCAACCTAAGTGTCCAAAACAGAAAGCATCCAAAACAGAAAGTGTCCAACGTAAGTGTCCAAAACAGAAACTAGAAGATCACCCCGGGCTCCACTTCCTCCCTTATCCCTCAGATCTATGCACAACCATTTCCTGTCAACCTCACCCTCTCAATGTCCTCCAGTCCCATTCCCATATCTGCAGTCCTCTGCCACCTATTAGCATCTCCATCCACATCCCTGCTTGCAGTTCACCTCCATTGAATTTTCTTTCTCGCATTATCTTTCTAAAATCCAAGTTTAAATATGGCACTGGCCTTCTTAATAGTGTTCATTGATTTCCCACCATTTAAACAGTGGTTCTCAAACTGTACCATGCATAAAAATCACCTGGTGAAGATGTTAAAATGCAAATTTTGATTCCCATATGTCTAAGGGGATAAGCCCAGGCATGTGCACTCTTAGCAGTCATCCTGGGTGACAGATACAAGTGATCAACTTCTCGTTTCTCCAAGTGTGGCTCAGGACCCAGCATCACCAACATCACCTAGGAGCTTGTTAGATATGAAGGTTCTCTGGCCTCACCCTAAAACCTACTGGATCAGGATCTGAATTTTAACAAATCCCCAGCCCATCATACTCTGACCTAAAGAACGAAATGCAAAACTGCAAAACTCTATGGTATAGGAGGCTGGTCATGACCCACCATCTATTTATCTCTTGCCCCCAACCCCATCTCACAGGACTCTCCCCTCTGTGATCCAAGTGTGACAAAGTAGGAAAACTGAGGCACCAAAAAGCTAAGGCAGTGAGTCTCAGTTTCTTCATCTTGGTCAGCCCAATGCCTAGCACAGTCCCTGTTATGTGCACCCTGCTGCTTCATTGATATGTTTTGAATTTGACTGAATGGAATTAATGTATGTTTTAAAACAAATGTTGAAATGCAGTATTATATTCAAATTGCACCTTTCATCAGGGTATGATTTACTGAAATGAAAAGGAATGAATGCAGACAAAGACACTCCATATCATGGACCTGATGCATTTTACTCCTTAAAACACCTTACATTTCTTCGTTGAGCAGGGGAGACAGGTACTGATTCCTCTCTGTGAAGACACTGTGGCTTTTAGTTGATTCACTGCCTGAAGTCAAACCCATGCTCTATATATGAAAGCACAACCCCACCTTCTTTTTTAAGATGAGCAAACTTTCACCACAAAGATACAAGAACAGTAAATATTGATCTTCTGGACGGATGGTGCACCTCATGCCACAGGCCACTCAAGCATCTGCTCATTACCACCAGCCCTCCCCTTTGTTGGGAAATAATGCCAAGTGGCCTCAAGTGGCCTCATGTGCTATCGGCTGTAGATTGCAAATATTTAAAAGAAATAAATTTATCTGAATGAAAAGCACCTTTCTTTGTTATCTAACCCCCTCTCCTCCCAAGTCATGTTGATTTTGGGGTTGTGCACACTCCCAGCACCTGTACTTTTCAATTGTTTGCCTGCCAAGAACAGTGTGGTTTTCTTGCTTGGTTTTAGAAGCCATTCTAAGTACAGTAGCCAATGAAGGCATATTTTCTTTCTCTCTTGGCAATATGTAAAGGAAGTTTCAACTTTAGGACACCTAGCAGCAACTGTAATTAGAGGACAAGGAAAGAAATTGGAGTTTCTCCATCTCAGTATTTGTCCCACATGATCATGAAAAATGTACCACCCCTGCAGACCAAAACCAAAAGTGTAGGTTTCTTCAATAGTCTTATTATTTGGCAGAAAGTTTTCTAAATTGGTTTTGCTGAAATCCAGAATCATTCTTTAGTGGAAAAGTAAGATCTGGACAATAAGACAAGAATGGAATTTCAGCAAGCGGAAAATCAATTTGTGATTGAGAATAGCCACTAGGTATACAAATCCAAGTGTCTGAATATATAAATGTTGGATCAAACTA